CATTTTGTGAAGCCACTTCCACACGGTCTCACCAATGCAAAAATCAGTATCTCCAAAGATGCACTTAATTTCCTATCGGCAGTAGCTTAGTGGCAAAAAAACTATGCACACACTGCTCAGGCTAATCCCCCAAATACAAAAATTCTGCTGTTCACAAGAAGCTTTCAGCTACTGGCAATAAGATACTTTGAAAAAAAACCCAAAACAAAGCCCAAACCAACCAACTCCCCCCTCCTGACCACGGCGCTATTCAAATCTTCAAGATGAAGCCCAGAACTTTCCTTCTTGTGGAACTTCTAAACACTGGCTGTAATTATGGCTTAAGTTGCAACTGAACTAATTACCTACTTAGGAGTTGAAAAAGTAAGTTAAATTCTGTGTCAAGAAATTTCAGAGATATGGATGTTTCAAAGCTACCCTACGAAACCCTGGAAAAACTCCAACCAAACTAACAAATCTGATTGCCATGGTTAAGAAGTGAAGACAGCAAACAGCTTCTAAAACAGTCAGGGAAACAAGGACTTGTAAGGAGATGGCAAGAACCCTTCTAGCCTCATTATGAATAATTAAAACCACGTGGCTTGTTTACTTTAATAAAACTAAGCTGAAGGAGAGACATAATCACCTGCTATAAATGCACTATAAGATGGCTAAACATCAAAAAAACCCTGCCTCAAAATTTTAGGTTAAGAGGTTTTTACCATCAAAGGAAGGTAACACTTGAACCAGCTGACCAGTTACTTGACTAGTAAGACTAGTCCAGGCCAATAAAAAATCAAACCCAAAAAGCAGAAGTACCCTTTTGGATGAGAAACTGTTAAAGAAGCCGAATTTTCCTTTCCAATTTAATCTGTCTCCATAAGGAGACTTAAAATGGAATAAACTCCTCAGATTTAATTAACTGATTCAAGTCCATTCATTGAAATTAATTGAACTGTGGCTTTTTGTAGTGTTTCATGTGCTCATGAGAAGATTATATGCAGAATGAGGTGGGCAGTGAAACTGCTGGAAAATGCTGAAATACTCCCTGTTTGCAAAGATCATCCTTTCTTGGAACTAACATCAATGGCAAAAACTCCTCCTCTCTGGTTAAGTCTTCACTTGCATCAGAAATTTAATTCATTCTAACACCAATGAGACATGCTAATTATTTACAAATGGCCCAGTGTCTAGCCAGGACATTTGCTTCTGGAGAAGACCAGAAACAAGCAAACGTAGGATGTCTCCAAAACACACATACCTGCCTCCATAGCAAGAAAAGCAGTAGAGAGATGGAAACTAACTCTTTGGGGGACAAACAGTAAAATTATTTTGACAGTGCTATTTACAGGCCACTTTCACGAGAGCCCCACATGGTCTGACAAGTCAGTTTGTCAGAAGCATCCCTCACATTACTCCAAAAAGACCAACTGGTTAATCCCTAAAGCCCAGGTAATCTGTAGGAGTTCTTCATCAAATCACTCTCTGTGTCTCAACTGTGTTTTCATTCACTTACAGGTAAGTAATCAAATTCAAATACCTGGTATCAGCATCTCCTACCTCCACCCCTTTTGGGAAGTCACCTCCTCTTCCTTTGAGGTTAGGGTGGTGAGGCACTGGAAGGGGTTGCCCAGGGAGGTTGTGAATGCTCCATCTCTGGCAGTGCTCAAGGCCAGGCTGGACGAAGCCTTGGGTGATGTGGTTTAGTGTGAGGTGTCCCTGCCCATGGCAGGGGGGTTGGAACTAGATGATCTTAAGGTCCTTTCCAACCCTAACGATTCTATGATTCTATTAGATCCTGAGCATTTACTGGTTTCTAAAGCAGAAAACAGAGTTTTAGAGCAACTGCCTAGTACTTCTGCTGGTAGAAACACATTCTTCCTATTCTTAGATGTTGATATATAGCTGAAACTACTATAAAATGGTAAGGCTAGAAAGTGAAGGTCTGCTGAACAGACTCATTTAGGCAGAGAATTCAAAACTCTGTGCTTTATGCTGAAAGACTACAATATGCCTTTGTAGAAAGCCATGTTTAGAAGGACAGAACAAAGGCAAGCCCAAATGTCAGGCCAAACAAGCCAATTCTGAAATTATTTTGGAGAAATTCAGTCACACAAGCTTTCAATTTTTCACCCCATTTTTAGAGACAGATTTCCCAGGAGGCTCAGTTTCTTTACATAACCATGAGAAAAAATTCAGCATCTTTCTATACTTTTGCACTCAGCCATCATATTTTATGACAATGTAAAAAGAGAGAGCCCAGAGGAATTTAGAGACCAGGACTGGTAAAATATCTTTATCTCCCTTGAAACTCAATTAGGAAGGTGCAGTTTGCTCTATAAATTAACCAGGAAGGTTATAATCTGTCTCCTGGGAAGTACCAATTCAAAACTTGTTTCCAGTTGTGCATGCTTCACATGCAGAATTAGGGTCCTTGTCAAGTACAATGAGCCATCTCTTCAAGTAATTCATACCAAAATAAATTACTGAAACCAAGAAGCTGGCTGTAATCGCTCTCCCCTTTCTTTCCCTTCCCCTTCTCTTTTACGGCCTTGTGCAGAAAACCTACATGAAGATGCCAAGGATATAAAGCTGCATCTTAAATTACATGATGTATAGAGAAATGTCTGCTGTTTCTTGCCAATTTTGCATGTGTAACTGTGTTGCTGCATAAAACACTCTTCTTATAAGAATTCCATTAATTATTTGACACACTTTCCCTAAAACTGACATCTGTGCAGTGCTACAGTCTTTGCAGTTGACACTCTGGGGAAAGATAACTACTTCAGCTTTCCACAAGGTGGCATGGTTCCCTTTGCTGAAAGAGCATTACTCAGTGAGGAAATTGATTTTTTTTTTCCTCCCAGATGTACCGGCCACTATCATGAATAGGTTTAAATAGGCTTAAGATCTCTAAAAAATCTCTAATGAGGTCCATTTTAACAAATTCTTCCAATAGCCAGTTTAATGAATTAAAAAAAGCTTTCTTACACTGAAATTTAACAAAATGTATCTGTGCTTGCTGCCACACAAAAGCAAGCTTCAATGAAATATAGTTAAAGCACAGCATTCAGCAGAAGAGAGCCTAAGGGGCTAAAAATTTGATTTCCAAGTCTCAGGTCATCAGTTCCAAATCCTATCAGACTTCTGTGTCTTAATATTTTGTGAAAATGGACTGGAAAGGAATCCACCTACCATAACCCTTTCCCATCTATGGGAGAATTAAAGATCCCAGAGCATTTTCCACCAGTGAAGATTTTCCCTGCTGTTTCTTGGCCATTTCCCTGCTGCTACCACCCCTGTAAGGTACAGCCACGCAGCAGCTGCTTTTCCTGTGGTTGGGGCAGAGGCACTAAACAGCTCTGCCCACAGCCTCTCCTGCTGCAAAGCAACATCAGTGCTGCTGAGCTTCACCTGCTGGTCCACACACTTGGTCATGGCTGACCCTGCACAACATCCCCATCAGGCTCTGACAGACAGCAGGTAAGGTGCTTTAACTCAAGTGGTTAAAAACAACAAAAAAAGAACAACCCAGACCAAACATGTATAGTTTCCCCTCTATTTTTTCCCTTGCTCCTCTCAGTCACTTCTGTGGATGTTTCAGCGCTCAGTTTTGACACCTGTTTATGTGTCATCAGCATGGTTTTGCCTAAACAAGAGAAACAAAACCAGCTGTGATACACTAAAGAGGACAAGCTTTTGGCACTGACTATTTCACAGACACCAGATGGGTATCAGTACCATAAATTTTGAAGTTTAAACAGAAAGCAACAAAGAGAAGGGAGATGATGACACGTGTTATTCATCCACACAAATGCTGCCAACAGTTCCCCAGGTAGGAAAGGCTCCTAATTCTACTCAGTGCAAATCACCTTGTAAAGAGTCACACTTATCAAAAGACTGCCTCCCTATAATGCTTTCCATACCATAAGGCTTATCATGAAAGGAACAGCTTTCTGGTTCTGTGAACTGGTACCTAATGCTCATCAGTCCTCTGACTTCATTTACTGTGCCCAGAATTTAGTGCTTGTCATTGTAAATGAGCACAGCTGAAACCCTTGCTTTTTAGCTGTCAGCTTGCCAAGCAAAACATATCTGATTTAAACATCACAAGCCAAATAATCAAGATGACAAAGAAGTTTAAGTACCCTGATCAGTCTGTTTTCTCTCCTAAAATATGTCATTAATGCTAGTATAATTAACTGTTACATACTGTCTTCCTGCATATAAGTAGCTTCTGATCCTGAAAATCACTGCAGGTGTGTGGCACAGCCAAAACAATTCTATAAATTACTTGGATTTCCAATTACAGAGATTCACATGCACCCTTAAAAATGGATGCAAGCACAAGGCAAACTATGAACAAGACAAATCTGGAGATATGCATATAAGCAGTCAAAACCTTCTGCTCCTTCTTTCTCCTCAAAAATCTTAGATTACAACAGTAAAAACTCTGATTTAATTATGTGCTTGTTCACATAATGATCTCATTTTTTTCTATGAATTTTATTCTCAAACCAGGTTGCATTCTGTGTTCTAAAATATGAAGTTCTTTGATCTAAAAAGTCTTGGTATTAGCTCTGAGCTCAAGCAGGCACACTAACAGAAAACAGTACTTAAAAAAGAGGTAAACCCAATAATAAAGAGCAAATTCTGACACCAAAAGCCTCAGGAAGCTATCCAGCCTTGACAAACAACAGAGCCTTCTCTCTTGCAGGACAGAAACCTCACGCAGGTGTGCAAGAAGTCAGTTATTACAGTTGGACATTAGAATATTAAACTGCAACATTCAATTTCCTGGCTTACGTATTTTAAAATAAGTAATACTTTCCTGACCAAACTGAATGAAGCTTTAAATCTGCAAATTCCTTTGATGAAAACAGTTCTGCATAGTCAATCCACATTGTGCCAAGAGGAGAAGTACTGTTCATTTCAAAACTTAGGAGACATCTGCACCTTGCAAGTCATGTTTACAATTGCAAATTTTTAAGTGTTATCTTATTGTGGATCTTCTTACAGACCTTTGCTTCTGGATCACTGTTGATGCTACAGGAATCATCATCATCAGATTGTGGACCATTTCTGTTAACAGGAGGGAAGAAAAAAAAGAAGTCATCTTAAAGTCATATAAAAATCACAGCACAGCGCAAAATGGAGCTGAGATTTCCATGCAGACTTCTGAAGTCATTGTACCTGAGCTTCAAAGAGGCATAGCGTAATGTTGCTCCTTCAAACTCTTTCAAACTTGGGTCTGGGTTCACAGTGGCTGCATGCAGATCCTAGAGGTAAAAGCAGAGCTATTAGTATAGTTTTAAGCACTACTAATATAGTATTAAGTACACCACCATGTTATTTCTCATTTCAAAGGGAAATTAAATCCTCCCTGCAAAGAAGCAATAGTATTTCTGGCTGAAGTTGAAAAGAGGCATGCATATATTCTCAAGCTGCATTTCATTCACTGCAGGCATCTTATTTGTTACACCATGGCAGTTGCCCTGCTAGTTTAGACTGAATTCATTCCAAGTGGAAAGATCAGAAAAGGCAGCATGTTTGTGAGCTAGACATCCCTAGTAGTACCCCCATTCACTTTGGCCTAGATTATGAATCACATTCATGGAAAAATAAAAAGGGAAAAAAAACAGCCACTGCCATGCAAAAAACAAGGGTAACAGTATTAAAGGTTCTAAAATCTGACAATATACTTGCCTTCCAAATGTCACTATTAATCTTTCCCCCATTCAGTACAGCAAAATCACTCCATGGCTGTTTCTAGACACATAATTATTCACACAGGAAGAAGCACATTGATAAAAAAAAAAAAAAAGAAAAAAAAAAGAAAAAAAAAGAAAAAAAAGAAAAAAACACAAGACACTGTTGTTAGCATTGATATTTACAGGATGGGTTAGGGAACAGATCACCTCAAACTTTAACTAATTACTCCGCTATACCATGGCATTTGAGGGAAGGGGAGGGAAAACATGCCTCTAACAGTTACTTACCAAAACAAATGAAACAAGGAAAGTTAATATAAATTAGGAACAGACAATGAAACTACTCTTTAACTATGATCTTAAAAGCAAGCAAAATGAATCTGAATATGAATGTTGGCCACAGCTGCTACAGCCCCTTTGATAAACAGCAATTAAGGGGAAACATTAGGATTTCTATTTGATTGGTGCTTCTGCTAAAAGACCCCAACACTATTGGAACTGGAAATACTGAAACACAACTACATATATATACAAGGATAAGGTATATACAAGGTAAAAATTAAGTATTTCTAGAGACATGGCACAAGAAAAGGACAGTGAAGGGAAGGAGGATTAATAAAGAGCGCAGAGAGACTTCTTGCTGAAGAAAGTCTTAGCAGCTTTTTTAAAGAAGTGGAACAAACCAAAACCCAAACAAACCACCTCTCGTTTCCGTTCACGTTTCTCAAAATTTTCAGAGGCATTCGCTGGCACAGTCAAACAAGTAGCAGTGCATTTAGCACTACAGCAACCTGAGGTTCTCTGTTAAGCCTGGAAGGAGCAGGCAGGTGATGAGGACAGAAATCCCAGAGTCCTGAACAAGAGCCAGGTGGGACAGGAGATTTGGTTCTTGAGAGACCCAGAGCCACCTCTTCGTAGATTCACCAAACCAAGTAACCCTGTACCTAGTGGCCCCTTTAAGATGAGCTCTCCCAGGATGTCCAGCTCAGCCCCAAGATGAAGTGATTCCTATTCATATGGCCCAATGCACTAATTTGTAGGGTAGACCTCCCACCTCAGAAATGTTCTCAGTACATCTCACTGGACGAATTATTTGTGAGAAACAACTCCCTGGAGTAACTCTTCCCTAAAATGCATTTGAATTAATTGAGCTGTTAGGTTTCCCTACTAAGCCCCTCCTCTTTAATTATTAGCTGCTAATGGTTATGTTCCCCACAGGAGAACTTCCAGAGGTTATCCAGGCCTGGGATGAGTCATGCTATAGGACAACACAACTACCATCACCAAATTCTGCCATGATCTCCAAGAAGCTCTCACTAAAAACTAAACCCTACAGCTTTTTCTCCCCACAGGAAACAGGCAGCAAAACCTCTAAAATTTGGAAAAGAATGTTGCAAAGGATGAGGATTCACAAAGGAAGTCATTTGGCAACACACAGAAGAAAAGAGCCCTCGAAAACAAAGTCAAATTTAATCAGCTGTGCGAAACCAAAATACATTTTCATGCTTTTAAAGGGGGAGAAAAGGCAGGAATGTTCCAGATTATTCATATTTAACATTTATTAGCATTTTGGTTAAATCTCCTGGATTTTTGCATAATGATTAACCCATAATTGCTCTGGACTGAAATTTACTTACTATCTTGTGAAAGGACAATTCCCTTGCAGCATCATTCCTCCCTACCCATTTTTCCCTTATTTTCTGTTCAACAACAGTAACAGCTTTTCTTTGTGCTAAACATCCAGAGTAAGCTACAACATCAGAATGGCTGACTTGATCCATTCTTTGTTGACTGCCCTAAGCTGTGAGCCACATTCTACTATACGAAGCAAAGCTTCTGAATAGCACATCATTTAAGAGACAGGGACACAAAATAAGAATTCAAATTTAAAAATTAAAAAAGAAAAAGAAAAGAAAAAGGAAGAAACAAGACAAAGGGTAAAAAGGCATTACTCAGGGTGGGGGGAAGGCATGTCTAAATGTTTATTTGACAAACTCAAAATCTGAAAGAGCCCAAATAAACTCATCTCAAGACTAGCAAATGATGCTTCACAAACAAATGTGATACAGATGGAAGTATTTTTTTTTTTATGGACTCATGGAAGCCTACTGGGACAGATATGAAATGTTCCCATGCCAGTCTTCAATGCTAGATTATACTCTTTCATCTGCCTAAGACCTATATATCCCTCAACCTTTTCAGAAGAAAGCAGTACAAATTCCAGCATGTGGGAATGAGCTAAACCAGCCCTCCCAAACCAGATTATCTCAGAGCACAGGCTTCCAAACAGCAATGAGGGAACACAGCTCACACATGGTCCGACTTGGAGCTGGAAGCTGTCCACCACAACTGCTGCTGCCAATGACAGTGCCAGGATAAAGGCATTTGGGAGTCCCTATTCTAGACTGGATTCCACATCTTTTGTGAAGTGTCAGATTGACCGTATCACAGACACCCAGATTAATCCTTCACAGGGAGGGAGAAGGCGAGCACTTGGGGGAGGCTGCAGTGCAGTGAACAGGGACTGCATCTGTATCACCTGCAAGTGACATGGAGATGACCAGGTACTGGCAAGTATCAATGAAGAAGAGATGAAAAAAAACAAAGACTCATGATAGCTGATGCTGTTGAATCTAGATTACAAGTGATTTCATTACTTGCTCCTATTTTAAGACCACACCATGGCTTATATCCCTCTTACTGCTCTGTTCTGGGATTCTGCTCAAAACCAGCTAAAACCTGAAGGATTTTATCTCCAATTCCTTTTTAACAAAGCTTAACATCTATGGTTTCAAGAAGTGCAAGACCTTTCCTAACAGTTCCCACTGTAACTCCAGCTGCACCCCTTCTTTGTAGCAGTTTCACTATTTGGCAGTGCATAAAGTCTTGAGCCAAATTCACACTCCCGTTTTGAGCTCCACTACTCTAAGTCTTCTGGTACTGTACTGCAGTGCTATTCTAATAACCACAGAGTCAAAAAATCAGTATTGTTTCAATAATGGTATGTAAGATGCTTATCAGTGAATGCAGAAACCTTCAAGGGACAAATGCCTTTGTTTGTACTTACAATTAAAATAACCATATAATATCATACTAATACATATTTTGGAAATCTGCTTATTTTCTGTATCATCTTTTACAATACAGTACATAGTCTTGATGCTGCCACAGAATTGTATATGCATAAATCTTTGCTGGATCAAATTCCTTGCTGAATTAGAACTGCCATATAAAAGCCTAGGTGAGACTAAGTACTCACATACACAGCATTTTAGAATGACTCCTCAAATGTCTTATTAAATACATCTACGCTGTATTAAAATCACACATTTTGTTTTCCTCATGATGCTGCTGAGAATTAATGATCATTATTTATAATCACGAACTATTCTTCATTTAAAGCAAACAAAATTGTGAATATATCTGCCACATTACCAGATCTGAAATTTTTATTGTAAAGACATTTTAAACAGAGGCAAAAAAGTATTTGACATGAATATATGCGTTTTCCCTCTGCAATGAGCAACCATACTGATTTTCTGTGAAAGATAACTTACTAATTAAAACCCTATAAGCATAGGTTTTATGTAAGCATATTTTATGCTTTATGTAAGCGTATTTTATGCTTTATGGTGAAGTTATATCCCTCATGTGTACATTGTGGGAAATTATACTGGAAGCTTACATTCTTTGATTTCTTGTTTTCTACCTGAATCATAACAACTGCTGTTCTTTCTCCATGAACCCTTTCACAGATATTTTCCAGCATGCTTGCTGTGCACAGTACATTCCACAGGAGCTTGACCGATGCTAACCACAACTGAAATGTGGTCACGCTTGCAACCCTTACAAGTAGCATTTATGAACATGTGGGAGCAATCTTTCTAAAATAATGAACAAGAATGTACATGTTTAAGCCTACAAAGGATCACAGTCTCGGGGTCGAGATAGTAACATTACCCAAACGTCCTTAATTTCTCTTAACTTTCATTTAAGTTATTCTGGCGCATGTATCAACAAACTCAAGAACAGCAGAAATGTCACCTCTATACAGTTTAAATAAATAAATAAATAAAACCTAAGGATTGCCTCTTTCAAACCTCAAAGCTAGTACAAAGCCTTTCCTTGATGTCATAAAACCGTAGACGCTGTTCTGAAAAGTTAGTACGAAAAAGAATTCATTTCAAACCAATTTGATTTTCTATTAGTATTGCATTCCACAGAGGTCTTCCCAGCACAGTAAAATAAAGTGGTTGCATTTTTTTTTTAAGCATACTCTTCCTCCTGATAGTTTATTTTTCTGCTTATATGACACCAATCAACCCCCTCCATTGTGCCTGAAAGGATTATTTTAAAGGCAGTGCTCTTTTGGCACATGTGGGAGAGAATGACTTTGTTTCTTGTTAAAAAGTTGACTGCAACACAGTGATCCAGTCACACAGATGTTTTATATTGGCAGGATATTAAGGGACTTACACTTGAGAATACTTTATGTTTATTTGATAGAAACTACCCTGTAAAGGAACTAGAGTCTCAAATGAAGACTCATGTTTCTGTGATGCTCCTATCAAGGGAACCAAAAGCAAGATGATGCAGAGCCCAGTCAAGACTGATAGAATGTGCAGAACTTTTACCTATCCTGTATCCATATAATGCAGCAACACTTCAGTGTGTGCTACAGAGCTGCCATAGTCTCACGTTCATCAGGCACTGGCTAATTTATCTGAGATATGTCTGATTTCATCCTAAACATCCAAAGTTTAGGATGTTTCAGAGGGCACAGCCATTGGAAAATGCAAACACAAAACTGATACTTACGATGTACTATCAACAAATAGCTACACTTCAGGATATTACCAGGCCCCATACTCTGGAGCTCAGTTTAAACCTGCAAATTCAGAAAGTTACTTCAATTTTCTTTACAGTATGTAGCACACAAGAAGACACTCAGTTACCTCAGTTTCTGGAGTAGGCGATGGAGTAATGGAACCAAGTGATCCTTTTCGTGAACCCTGGAGATCTGTCGGGATGGACACGGGACGCTGCCATTGAGTTGTCCCCGTTGGTATGTGCCAGTAGTAGATCCCAGCAACATCATTGATTTTTTTCCAGCCAGGTGGTAAATCTGGGTCTGTCTGAAATGAATGATCACTCCAGATATCTGCTGGGAACAGAGGGTAATAAAGGGGGGGGGGGGGGAGAGATTTGATTTTACTAAGACACGAACCATTCTACTTGCACCAGGGACAGACCCATGGAAGTTATGCACAGCCGGTACTGCTATTGTGCAGTTCCTGTGTAAATGAACACCAGAAAAAAATACTGAATTACTGAGGCTCAAAACTCCTAAAGCTCCTGGGTTTGAAAGTATTAATTCTACGATAATATGGAAAGCATGGCTTACGACAGAAATTTAAAGCATGATTCATGAAAAGAATGTAGCCTTTTGTATAGGGGTCAGTTTACCTACCACATGTATTTCAGTAAACCATGATCTTCCCAAAGGCCGTACTGTAAGACATTTCTTTTATAATATTCTTAAAGCAACAGGAGCAAGAAAAATTCTGAAAAAAACACTGAACTAAAGTAAAAGAGCCAGTGCAGCTAAGCTGTATGAGAAAGCACACATTGGGTTTCTTTAAGAAACTTGGATTTGCATTATAACTTGTCTTTCTACAACAAGAGTCAAATTCTTATCAACAGAAAGACTACTTTAAGATGTAACTGATTTAAAATGAGATACATCTTTATACAGCACTACAGACCTCTCTTTTTCTGCAGAAAGGCCTTACTGAACAGGGTGGCATCACAGCCTACACACACTCAGGAGATGAAGTCCAAAGTCAGCTTTCATCACAGGAGACAAGACAGTCAGCTTGCAGCTGATCCTTTTGCATCCCTGTCCAAACACAAGGGTGAGTGAGAGCCCTCACTATTGAGGCAGGCCAGCTCTCACCCCACACTGCCTCACACATGCCAGCAAGTCCTCGTCAGCAAGCTGCTACCTGGAAATCTTCCCAAGATAACTGAGCTGTCACCACCCCACTTCAGAAACACAGCCCTGCCAGCTTAAAGGTCAACACAGCTAGAAGTTCACAGCTGGTCTTCTGCAGGCAGGTTCATGTGAATGAACAGGCTGCAAAGACAGGACTGATAGCTTCCAATTGGAGTTTTGTCTCACTAAAGACACACGATTAAAACCTTGTCACATTGGGGAAAGATGTTACGGAAGAAGCATGGGCCAATCGGCAAAAAGACAATAAAAGACATGGTAGAAGATTTTGAAGACTAAAATGGAAGATTACATAAAACCATTATGACAAGTCCCTCAGGGAAAACTGATCTTTCCCCTCCACCTAACGCTGGCTTAAAGATGGCACCACAGTCCCTTCTTACAGGGTCCAACATGACGGGACACAAGGATGCTCCCTGAAAAACTCTGGCACTGTTCTCTGCAGAACTGAGAGAGAGAAATCTGCTTGCTGCACCCCACCATGCAGCCTCTGGTTCATCTCTTCAGGGACCCAGCAACACAGCTGTGAGAGATATGTTTTTACAAGAACAGGAAAACAATGAAGAAAATGAAATAATCAGACGTGAGAGCCAAAGGGGAGGGAGGCACCTGCAATGCCTTATCCTTCCCTTTTACAACCAAACAAGGAATTTGTAATTTCTTTTTAAAAATTAAAATAAAGAGAAAAAAACTAACAAAAAGCCAGTAAGGCTTTAGAAAGGTATTTAATAAATGTACAAAAGAGTAAAGCAGTCTGAAGAGATTCCACTTGCTAAAATTGTCTGGTCAATTCCCTCAGAACTAAATGCTTGTGTCTGAATGGCTGAACCATGGAACCTATAACAGAAAAAAAAACAAACACAGACTTCACCCCAGTAGCATTATAACTGAGGAAAACAGTTAAAACTTCAAAAATACTGGAAAAATGAAGCCTGTTACTTAAAATAAACCTTTCAATTCATTCTTGAAACAGCTCACAACACAGATGTACCTACACAAAACCATAAACCCAGCCATTTTAACTGGTAATTTTGGCTAGGAGAGCTTTGTGAACACATTCTGTATTCTAAAGAAGGCAGGATAAAACCTATATAAATGTAATACACTGCTGTTTATAACTGCCTTCTACAAATGTCAGCCTCTGCCAAAATGATTTTACTATCAGAGGCTGATCTAGGAACGTGTTTGGATATTGAAAAAAGATGATAATAAACACTGTAAATAATTCACTGAAGAGCACATGTAATTGGTGACCAAGCTCTCTGGCAAACCTAGTATTTTTATCACTTTATTGCTGTTTCAGGGGAAAGGACGGTAATCAAGTTCTTGCCATTATGAATCACTTGATGCCCTTGTTTAGTTAAATAGAAATTAAAACTACAGCACTCAGCAGGCTCTTTCAAAGCAAACATATGCAGTAAAGGGATACCATTTATTTCTCCATCATTTTGTTCCACAAACTACTCCCTCCTACCGAGCATCCCCTGTAAGCCAAGGTCAATGCTCACTAAGCACAGGTTGTATTGGTGGCATCACAGCAGATGCAAACCTAAATGCAGATCAGCATCTAAACGCAGGGCAGCTTTCCAGTTGCTGTTTCTGACTATGTCTGCGCCATTCTCTGCTGATGTAATCTGTGGATATTTCATAATTAGAGAGACTAAATGCCATGAAGCTGGAGCAGCTTTTAACCAGTTCAGGTTTTCTTCTGCAGGCGCAGCTCGAAATCTGTCACTGAAGACCAAAGGCAAGAAACAAATACAGATGCAATGAGAACAGCAGGAGCTCCAGAGCCACTGCCTGGAAGAGCAGGAATAAAATGGCACACCAAAACATGTTTTATCAGCAAGTTGTGTTAAAGTTTTGAGACTATAATTACTCATCTTTCTTTTTTTTTTTTTTTTTTTTTTTTAAAAAGAAAGAACTAAACTTGAGGAAAATGTTCCATCAGGGCTGATTTTGTGTTATAACAACGGTGGAATGGAAGAATATTGGCAAGATGCTTGATTCCCTATGTACCAAATTCTGTTAACAAGAAAACTAGTTTCTCCGCCACCCTTAGCATAAATACTCCACCCACTACTGTCATAAGCCTGTTTATCATCAGTCTAGCACTAAAATCTGGCAGTATGATAATGTGCCTGTGCCTAACTAATCAGGATCTCTTCTTGTTTTAGGCCGGAAGTGTACCACCTCATTTCAGTAACAAATCTCAACATGCCTGTCTGGAAGGAACATAATCTAGCTCCTTCTCTTTCTGAAGGTAAGGTAGTAGAAGATGACTAGTGTATTTACACATTAGTCAGGACTGGAAGAAAAAGATTTCATTATGTGATAGAAACAAAGGCTGATAATTGACACCTCAAGGAAAAATGCACCAGCAATGGAACTGTGTGGAAGCAAATATTTAAATATTATTTAAATTATACTGTAATAAACAAACTTTCTGTTTTCATTTAGTCACTCTAACAGAAATTAATAAAAGCAGCAATTAGGTGCTAGTTCCACATGAAAGACAATTTGGTGGTGATGACAAGCAAGGTGCTGGGGATGGACACCAAAGAGCAAGTGCCCCTCTGCTCAGGTCCTTGTGCATGAGGGAACTGGAACCTCAAACCTGGTTTGCTAAAGGCCAAACAAACCTATTTCCTGAACAAAATACTCTTAAGCAAAGGTAACAGGTCTAATGCAGTAACTTTTGCATAGAACTGGGATATGTACTTGGAAAAACAGGCATGTATTTTGGATGCACAGCTATTCTTCGGGTGAAGACAAATCCCACCAACCAGCATGGCTAGGACACGTAATTATAGGCAAGAATAGTACTCTTGAACAGAAGGAACCACATTCCCAAAGGGCTCAAAGTTGGCAGCATACGTGACTTCAAAACAGAGACAGCAATAGTACTGTATAGAGCCATCAGAGTGCTGGAAATTCTGTACCTGGGAGGTGCACCATAATAGCACCTATATCACAAGACAATTTAACTTCATTTCACAAGTTAAAAGCACTTTTTTTGGAAAATTGGGAGAGAGCAGCAAGGTAGACTCACAGTAACACAGAAAATATATTCACGGAAATCCTACAGGTATCATGGCAACAATAAAGGGACATGCGTGTTTTGCTTTCTAAGGGATTAATTTCCACATACTGGCTTTATTTCAGCTACTTGGAAGCTGAAGCAGATGTAAACGCACAGCCTCTGGCTGAAGCAAATGCAGCTCTGCTAGAGTCAGTGTAAATTAGTTAGTCTGTCTTTCCAGCTAATGAAGGCTCTTTTCACTGCCTGGTAGCAGAATGACCAAGTAAGACCACTTGTCTGCAAGGCTCAACAATACTTAAAGCACACGATCTAAATTATCTAAATAGGTTAAGAAATAAAATACCCATACAGAGATAAAGATGAGAAAGTTCTTTTCTTTTTTTTTTTGGTACTCCTAGCTTAGTTGTTTCAATCAATAGGACTGTTTTGTGACAATTTTTCTTTTCCTCTGTAAACATTCTCCACATAAAAGGGATACCACTGAAACACAGGATTTGATCCAGGCTTCGATTATCTACAACTGTCACAAAAGTATATTTCCACGGTTAACTGAAAAGGAGTGTTCAGTATCCAGGCTGAAAGCACAACCGTCCAAACAGGAACACTTTCAGAGGTTTCCAAATCCAGAAAAATAATCTGGTAAATAATAAACCTATAAATCCACTTCTGAATCTCTGGCCTTCCCATTGCTCACATTCCAGTAGTGGATACACAATGTAAATGAAAGAATTCAAGCTGAAAAGTGCCTTGTTTGTAAACAGAAGAGCTGCACCAAAGCTTCCTATGTCAAAAATTGCAAAGAATGGGATGGTGACAGGATCTAACAACATGCTGTCCTAGTGTTTGGGCACTAATGGGAAACCACTAGCTTCAAATCTGATGGCTTTCTTCATTACTGGGATGAAGCATATGAAAGAACTAGCCCACAACATCACATGTGTCCTGGGCATAAGAGAGGAAGCACAAGAAAGGAACTGGGAAAACAGGAGGATAAACAGGTTTTACTAAAAAGGAAAGGAATGGGGAAAACTGTTTTTAGTTCTTCAGAACTTCCAAAATCTTGAAATAAAAATGTTTTCCTTCTGCCTTCTGGGCCTAAATGAAAGCA